TCCCCACTTTTCCCCCTTGCAATAATTAAAAGACTTTCTGCGAAAAGTTCACCATTGATCATTGTATAAGTTTAAAGCCCCTTTCAACACTCAACGATCATTTAAGAGACGGGGCCTCTACTGAAAATTTAATGCCCATCTCCGATAGGACTGACTAAGTGCAGTCCAGGTTATCTTAAGTAATCTAGCCTGCACTGGACAAAGTCAAATACGTGGAGATTTATATAAAAACAACTCCTCCAAACAGCCCAAGTTCAGAACGCTCTCTTGAGAATTCGAACCACGGTCACCCGCTCCCTAGTCCAGCATATTGAGTCCATTCGACTTTTAAAAAAAGTATTATGAGAAACAGATTCAGCTCTCTATTCACTACCCCTTACCTCTGCCCTCGAGACTAGAGAGGCGCGAACAAATGCGGTCAGCGGCGTTGACACACTCCAAAACCAACGGCATCTTGTTTCAATATTTGGACATGCTGGGGTCAAACCTCTTCAGGTTGTCCTCATAAACCTGAAAACAGATGCTGAATTCATGGGGCTATTTTTCTTCTATTATGCACCTCGAATCTGATTCGTTACCCCGTGCAGGTATCTTCTTTTGTCATCTGTGCTTGGCATGTTTCATTGGCGTGAGTGTCCAGCACAAGTGAACGCGCCACATCGCGAGACCTTCTTGTTAAGGCGTGGTTTGTGGTTGTTTTTGTGTGGACTCCTTCGTCCCCGAGGCTGTGGCATAATGGAGTTGTCACCAGGGGCTTGTGTTTGTTTGTGATAGCGTACAGCGACATCCTTGTAAAGAACTAGAAATGAACTGAATTACTCTGACCTCTTGTTGTTTACCATCGTTGCTTCTGTTTTGTATTTCTGCTGTCAATGTACTTGTATGTAGAACCAAAATCTATTTCGACTCTTTGCTTGTCAATTTGCCTAGCTATCCATTTGCATGTGTGAAAACTATTTTGTCTTATAATTATATGTGAGGCGTGCTGACAAAATGAGTTACTTTTCGCAATCCACAAACGGAGATATTGGTGGGCCAAAAATCGACACTAGGGCCAAAGGTGTCGATTTTCTATTGATGCCACATATTCTTTAAGTATAACATACATACCTTTTATTATTTTCTACATATAAATCGTACAAACTTGACGTATCTATTTCCACAGGGCTCATATCAGAGAAGTTACTCATTTTGTCAGCCCCCTTCACATATGTTTTCCTTCCCCTCCCCATTTTACTCCTTTATGTCATCATCTTCAGACCTTCTCGCTATCCCCCCCCCTCTCCCCGCCTGCCCTTTATTTTTCTCTCCCTACATCTGTTTCCTTTTTTTTCCTTCCCTAATTGTTTGCATCTTCTACTTGATCTTCTTTTTGCTTCTTCTCCTCCCTCCACATCTCACTTGCACACAAATATTTATTCTACATACACAGTAAATTAGCTTGAACAGGTTAAGAGCAAGCACAAACATTATTATTTCCAGGAAGAACGTATCCTTATCAATTCCATTACATCCACTATTTGGGTTATATATTATACTTTTTTTCTCCTAAATTTCTGACTCATTTTGCGAAAACGGAGTG